ATGCACTCACCAGAAAGCGAGAGAGAGAGACAGTGAGTGATAAAGGGAGAAATCACCCCGCCAGAGTTGTTGGCCACACTGCAACCCCTTCTCCTCCATTCTCCTCCTGGGATTTTGGACACGCACGCACACACGCCTAGTGTGATTTTCAAGCCTCCAGGTTGGGGACTTGAACTGCAAATGACCATGTGGGAATCCAGCACCTCAGCTACATGCCACCTGCTATCCCCTTGTGGCTATTTTTTTTATAGAACTTCTCTGGACAGTTACTCATGAAGTCATCTTTTCTGTCTGTCTTTTTTATTTTTATATTTGCCTGTGCACTCACAGGAGAGAGGGAAAGTGAGAAAGCGCCCCCCACCCCTCCCCGTGGGGAATGGCCACACCCACACCCCACACCGTAATCCATTCTCCATTTCTTTCACTTTCTGGATTTGGGGCACACAAATGTCCCGTGTGTTTCTCAACCACTGGGGTCCAGGATTCGAACCACATAGTCAGCCATGTAGAAGCCACCTCACGTAACCTTCAGGCCATGGGCTAACCTGAAACCGTCTTTTCAAGTCAGGGTTAGCAGGAACGATTCCCAAACCTGCCTAAATATCAAAATCACCCCAGGAGGCTTGTAAAAATAGCAATTTTCAGGCCAGTCAGTGGTGTGGTGATGAAGGCAGCCGGATCCCACATGGCCGACTGCACAGTTCAAGTCCCAGACCTGGGGCCTTGAAAAACACTCTAAGTTGGGACCAGCAGCTGGCGTAATGGCTAAGCCGCTGGACTCTCGTGTAGTCGACAGCAGTTCGAGTCCCAGACTCGGTGGTTTACAGTCACGCTGGGAACGTGTGCGTTGTGCCCAAGATCCCGAGAGGAGAATGGAGGAGAAGGGATTGCGGCGTGGCCATTCCCCCCTGGGGGATGATTTCTTGCTTTCTGTCTCTCTGTCTCTCTCTGTCTTCCTGGTGAGCACACGCACCCTATAGCAAAAACCTCTCCAAAAACAAAACAAAAAACACTCTGAGCACATGTGTGTGCATGAGTGGAGAAGAGAATGGAAGAGAAGGGACTGTGGTGTGGCCGTTCCCCCAGGGGAGGTTTCTCACTTTCCCTCTCCCTTTTCCTCTCTCTGGTGAGTGCATACACCCTAAGATTGAAACAAAAACAAAAAGCGAATTTCCAAATCTCACTCTAGGATCCGAATCTCCAGGAGTGAGCCCCTCGGGTCTGTATTTTGTTCTAAAGCTTCCTGGTGCCTCTGAGGGTCATCCAGGCTCCAGACCGGCAGGGGTCCATGACGGCTGAGAACGCTTCCCGATGCTCACGCATCCCTGCACGCTCAGCACTGTGAGAAATACTTTAGACACTTTACCAAAGTCAGTCTTTGCAACGATCCTCCGAGGAGGCACGCATCAGTAGTCTTGTTTTATCGAAGAAAAAACTCAGAGAGGTTAAGCGATTTGCCTGGGTCTCTCAGCCAATAGCTGACGGTCTCAGAATCGAAATCTAGGAGCGAGTTCAAAGCCCCTGGGCCTCACCAGGCTATCCAGTCCCTTCCAAATCGAGTCTGCCTCCCTCTAAACGCACTCTTCCAAGTGTACCATACTCGCGTGGTACTTATCCAAGGACTTCCTGGCTCTGGTGATATAAATATCATTTCTAAATGCAGTTCATCAAGGTAATGGAATACCATAAAGCCATTAAAAAATGATGCGGCTCCATATGTATCATCATGGGAAAAATCAACAAAGCACAGTTGAGTGAAAAAGTAAATTAAGGGTAGTTAAAGCACTGGACTCCCACGTGGCCAACCACAGTTCGAGTCCCAGACCCAGTGGCTAAAACTCATGCCAGGCGCATGTGCGTGCGTGCCCAAGATCCCAAGAGGAGAATGGAGAAGGGATTGTGACATGGCCATCCCCCATGGGCGGTGATTTCTCACTTTCTGTCTCTCTGTTTCTCCAATAAGTGTTCATATCCTAAAGCAAAAATATCTCAAAAAGAAAAAGAAAATTAAGATGATGGGTACTTGGGGGCTGGCAGGTAGTGTGGCGGTTAAAGGGTGTTGGACTCCCACGTGGCCAACCATGGTCTGAGTCCTGGGCCTGGCAGCTTACTTTCTCACTCTCTGTCTCTCTCTGGTCAAAATTAAATAAATAAATAAAAGATGGTGGTACCACCACTTCTGACGTAAGGACTCACCTGTTTACCACGGCCTCCAGCTTAGGGGTAGTTCTCTCGTGTGGGGAATGCCCTTTCTCAGTCTCGGTCTCGTTCCCATGTCAGGGGGTGTTCACCACACGCGGCATACACCATGATGCAAGACCGTAGGTTTTGTTTATAAATGTGTACTTTATTGTGCACTTGGGGCCTACAGGTCGTGTGGTGGGTAAGGCAGCTGGATTCTCACACAGCCAGCCATGATTCGAGTCCCAGACCCAGTAGCTTGAAACAGGCCAGGTGCTTGTACGTGCCTGCCCAAGATCCCAGAGGGCGGATGGAGAAGGGCTTGTCATGTGGCCATTCTGCAGCGGGCAGTGCTTTCTCACTTTCCCTCTCACTGTCTCTCTTGGGCGAGCGCGTGCAGCCTGTGGCAAAAACCTTTAAAAAAAAAAAAAGCGTGCACTCATGGTAGTCATCAGAATAGATCAAAACTATTATGGTGGATTTATATTACTGTATTGTGCTATGTCTTGGAGCTTTCTGGTGCTTATCTAATGTACTTTTCCCTTATTTGATTTATTTATTAAATTTTGCCATAGGGCACATGTGCTCACTGGAGAGAGAGAGAGAGAGAGAGAGAGAGAGTGAGAAATCACCCCACGGGGGGACTGGCCACTCTGGAATCCTCTGTCCTCTATTCTCTCCTTGAGATCCTGAGCTCACACGTACATGTGCCCAGTGTGATTTTCAAGCCACGGGTCTGGGAATGGAGCCACAGAGTTGGCCACCTGGGATCCAGCACCATAACCACCACACCGTCTGCTGGCCCGAAGGAAAGCTTTCTGTATGGCGAGAACATTATTCTAGGGTGTGGCTTCATCTGCCGTCCACTGACATAGCTCACAGCACCACGATGTGCGAGACATCTACCGTTAGGCCCATGTTCGTAGACCAGGCCGCTTCACAACCTGGTCATAAGGCCAGAGCTCAGTCACTAAGCCAGGAGCGCCTGTACCCAATTCGATGAATAAAATTCATTCCACGTGGGCTGGGAGAATAGAACAAGTTATTATGTTTGCATGAGATTCAAAGATCCCTTTGACTTCTGAGCTCACTGTACAAGGGTCATGTTAGGGGGCCAGCAGGCATGGTCGTTAAGGGCACTGATTCTCACATGGCCAACCATGGTTCAAGTCCTGGACCTGGTTGGTTTGCCTCCTCTCTCTCTCCCTCTCTTTCACTCAGTCCCTCTCTGGTTACACTAAATAAATAAAGTTCAATAAAATAATAATTAAAAGGAAAAAAAAATGGCCAAGTTGGAATGCAGTATGATGTGGGGCCAGCAGATGGCAAGGTGGTCACAATACTAGACTCCCACACAGCAGACCACAGTTCAAGTCCTGGACCTGGTGGCTTGAAAATCACGCTGGGCATGAGTGTGTGCGTGCCCAGGATTCTAGGAGGAGAATGGAGGAGAATGGATTGCTATTCCTCCCAAAGGGTGATTTCTCACTTTTCCTCTCACTGTCTCTGTCTCTCTTTCTCCAGCCAATAAAAACACCCTATGGCAAAAACCTCTAAAAAAAAAAAAAAGAATTCATCAAGATGCTTTTGAATACAGGAAACAGTTCAATATGGAACAAGGCAGCCAAGCACCACAGGGGCACAGGCAGGGGGCGCTGTTGCATGGTGGCGGAGGCCACACGGCAGGCCTGGGTTTGGTTTCCAGCCGAACGTAAACAGGAGGGGCTTGGTAGTGTACACCAGCGCTCCTAGCTAACCAGGAGGCTAGGGAGGAAGGATTAAGGCATTGTGAGATCCTGTTTAAAAAAGAACGAAAGAGAAAGCAAGCAAGCAAGCAAGCAAGCAAGCAAGCCCAGTCACAGTGACATATACGTAGAGCCCGTCTGGAAGGCTGGAGACTGCATGAGAGATCTGGCTTCCGTTCCTGGGCCAACCAGAATGCACAAGGCACATTTGTGCACACCTGAAGGAGCCCTGGCTATTTGGGACACTGGGGCTGGAGGATGACGACACAACAAGACCCTGTCAAAAATACCTCGGTGTCTGTCCCCCCACTCTATAAACAGAGGATGGAACAAAGCTGTCCAGAAAGCTGCTGGCCGGGAGTGGGAGCTCTGATCGGACAAGAGCAAAGCAGCAGCATGCAAATATGGGCATAACCACAAGGGGGCAGTAGAGACCCACCCTCCACTGCAGGCAGCTGCCTTGCAGGGCTATACCCGCATGCGCCAGCAGGTGTGGCGTCTGCCGTGAGCAGTGAACACGGGCAAAGGACCAGAACCTAGTCATGGGTTCATATAGGGGGTTGCCTCGTGAACACCGTTTCTCCCCGAGGAGCCTCTGTCCCCAAAGTGAGTGGGAGGCCGCCCTCAGGCCCACCTGAGGATGCTGTCAGTGAATCCACGTGAAAGCACCTGACACTCGGGGCGGACAACAGACAGCTCCCGTCTCCCCTTCCCCAATTGTCTCCGAAAGAGTGAAGTTCCTGTGGGAGCCAGATAGGCCCAGGCCACAGCTGGGACTGCAGATCCCATTCTCCCAGGACCCCTTTTTTTTTTTTCTTCTTTTTTTAAACACGTATTTATTTATCTATTTGTTGTGATTTTGAGGCCACCATGTCTGGGACTTGAAGCACGGTCAACCATGTGGTCTCTGGACACGACTGGGAGCGTTCCCACGCCGACTGCCTCGATGTCACTGTATCACTCTCAAGTGAGGGAACACTGGTGGTCTCCCTCCATCTGGTGATCCCGGTGAAGTCTCTCTGCTGGATGTGGAGGTTGTAATCCCAGGCCACCAAGAAATGGCATTAGCACGGGTGAAAAGAAAATAATGGCAAACTTTATTGGCATAAATCACAGGAATTGAAATGGATAAAAGCCAGGTTAGACATTTACAGAGAGGAAAAAAAAAATCAAAATAAAATCATTGAATAAACGTTGACCCAGAGAGGGGGCCCCAGAAGTCCCATCTCTTTTGGGGAGGGGCCTGGGACAGGTCACTGTAAACAGAGTAGTAAGGCCTGTGGGTGGAAGTGAAGACAGCACACCTTCCGTGGGACTGGGCTGGCCTCCCCGGACCTGGGCTCTCCGCCTGGCCGGAGGCCCGACCTCCTCCTGAGACCCTCTGGAGGGGGCCAGTGCAGTGGTCTGGATCGTCCTCACTGCGGACGCTCTGGGCCCCCTCTCCACTGGCTACTCCTGTCATCCTTGGGAAAGCTCCTGAGATTCCCTCTGCTCCAGGTCTGAGTGGGCACGTTCGCAACCAGCCGGGCCCCCTCTGCAGACCTCCTGAGGGGCGACCCTGAGTGCAGGCCCCATCCCTGAGGCCACGTGGGGAAGGACCTGCACTCCGTCTCCAGGGAGGGCCAGAAACTCGAGGAAGTGATGCAACCAGTGGAATCAACAAGACCAAAGAGAACTTTCTGGTTGAAATCAGACACCAGCTTTCCTGAGAGGGCAGGAGAGCGAGCCCCAGAGAAGCAGTGAGGAGGCAGCCGATGTCCAGAGGGACCTCTCCTCGTTGCCAGAAAGTCTACAGGGGAGCGGATGCTCCCGGTGGTGGCTCACCCAGACAGGAAGTAGCCCCCCCACCCCGCCCCGAGTTACTTCGCCCTCTCCCCTGGGAACAGGACAGGTGAGGTCAGAAATCCAGGCCTGAAAGGACAAGTCACCCTTAGGCTAGTTTTACTTAAGAGCTTGCTGGCCCAGGCAGTAAGGAAGGTTTCAAAATACAGCAGTTTATAAAACAGTCCCGGAGAGCTGTGAAGTTGAAGGCGGAGGCACAGGGCTGCCCCCGCCCACCTGCTTGTGCTAAGAAAAAATAAGGTATAAATTGCTTCCCCACCCTCAGCCCTCGGTACAGAGCAGACTCCGCACCCGAGTCCCCACCACGGGGTGCAGGGATGAGTGGTGGTGGGTGAGGATAGTACAAAAAGGCAACGTCTTTAAAATCTCTTAAAATCATCCTGTACAGAGAAGTAAAAGCAAACCAGGCAAGAGGAATTTGAACCTCAGTGTAGAAATCTATGAAAGTCGGCACAGTGTCCAGGCTGGGGGGCTCCCCACCTCACGCCGTCCCTGGAGACGGAGGAAGGGGCTAGAAATCGTTATTGCTGGAGAGGCCTTTCTCAGTAGAACCAGAACAGTGACAAAAGGAGGAGTCGGGGTGTCAGGGGGAGGAGGCAGTCACCCAGGCCTGGGGAGACTGGAGGGACAGGAGGACACAAGGAACCTTCCGTGGCCCCTTGGACGCTTCTGCCCTCGGGTGGATGGATTTATGCTGGCATGGTCTGGGGGGAGCCGGTGTCCCCCAATACTTTCAGAACAGGGATAATTAGGTGGAGGGAAAAAAGCATAAAAAGAGACCCCATCTGACCCTGCTGGCCCTCCCCACTGCCCCCGGCCCGGCTCTGCTGCCGAAATGTGAGTAAGGGTGGCTCCAGTGTGGGGTGTCGGCCCGGCTCCGGGAGGATGCAGACCGGGCGGCCTGGGAGAGCTGCAGAGGAGGGAGACCTGGCTCTGGCGGGGGCGCGGACTAGCAGGTGGGACCCCGCCTGCACCGGCTGAGAAGGAGGAAGGTTCCAGTTTCGGGCAGGTGTGCCCCTCTACCTGGGCAGGGTCTCCAGGTCACAGTCGTGGTTGGGGACGCAGGGCTGGGAAGGGGCCGTTGAAAGGAGGCGCCTAGCAGAAGAGCTTGAGGAAGCAGCTCTGACAGTACGGCTTGTCGTTCTGCTCCTTGAACGTGCCCTTGTTCAGCTGCTTGAGGCAGAAGGCACAGACGAAGTGCTCCGGGTGGAACTTCTTGGCCATGGCGGTGATGCAGCGGCCTGTGATGGGCTTCTGGCAGCCCGAGCACAGGGAGCCCCGCCGCTCGTGGTAGTGCACCTCGCAGTAGGGCTGCCCGTCGTGCTCGAAGAAGCTGCCGTTGACGAAGGGCGTGAAGCACTCCTGAGGGGCAGAAGAGGGGCAGCGGAGGGCGGGCTCAGTGGCCTCCCACTTGCTGGGCACGTCCACGTGCGGAACGCGGGGCCGCCTGACGCTGGGCTCGTTCTCTCAACGGACGTGGCGACGGAAGCCTGCGAGCTGTGGCCTGCCCAAGGGCACGACCTGGGTTCACAGGGCCGACTCCGGGGCCCTCGGCCAGGCCGTTGTAACGCTGTTGCCAGGAACCCCGGTGTGTGGGCTAGCCGTGGTGTGCTGGTTAAGGTGGCTGGATCCCACATGGCCGACTGACTGTGTGGTTCGCGTCTCAGACCCATGGCATGAAAAACATGCTGAATGTGTGCGAGCGTGTGCCCAAAATCCCTAGTGGAGAATGTTGGAGAGGGGACTGTGGTATGGCCAACCCTCCCCGGGGGTGTTTTTTTTTGGGGGGAGGGAGAGGTTTTGCTATAGGGCGTGTACGCTCACCAGAAAGACAGAGACAGAGAGACAGAAAGCGAGAAATCATCCCCCGGGGGGATGGCTACGCTGCAATCCCTTCTCCTCCATTCTCCTCTTAGGATCTTGGGCACGCACGCACACATGCCCGGCGTGAGTTTAAGCCACTGGGTCCAGGACTCGAACCGTAGTTGACTACATGGGAGCCCTGAGATATAGCCATTACGCCAACCGCTAGTCCCAAGGGTTTTTTTTTTAATTTATTCAATCATTTATTTTAATTTGACCGGAGAGAGACAGAGAGAGAGAGAGAGGAAAAGTGAGAAAGCAAGCCACCAGGTCCAGAACTAGAACCATGGTCAGCCATGTGAGAACGTCCAGTGCTTTAACCACCACACCACCTGCTGGTCCCCGAGGGGTGCTTTTTTACTCTCCCTCTCTCTGCCTCTCTCCAGTGAGCACGCATGCCCTATAGCAAATTTTTTTAAAGTATTTTTTATTAAAGCATTAATTTTATTTATCATTATCATCATCATTTTTCAATTTGCTACAAGGTATATGTGTTTACCAGAGAGACAGAGAGAAAAAAAAAACAAGAATGCAAGCCACCAGGTTCAGGACTCAGATCTCAGCCGGCCCTGTGGGAGTCCAGTTCCCTTAGCCACCATGGACCTCCTACTGCAAATTTTACAAAATAAAATTTAAAAGGAAACTCCGGTGCTCGAGAAGGGGCTAAGTGCCCGGACCATATAGGGCTGCGCCGGCACGCCGAGGCACACATGGCTCTGGGAAGTCCTGCGTGCAGTGTCTCCCTCACGTTTGCTCACGGCGCCCCGCTGACTCCCTGAGGATGCCTGTGGGCCCCAGTGGAGGCCACGGCCCATTTCTGTTGAGCCTGCTAAAAACATGTACCGTCTCGCTTGATTCTCACACGCTTCTCCGGAACGTGGCCAGGGTCAGGGCTGCCGCATAGGACGAGGTGCGGGGACGTGTCGGCCTTGTTCCTGGTTTATCCCAGCCTCAGGACAAGTCCCGGCCCAGGACCTGCTGGTCGCGGAGTGCATCCCTGCCTGCTCACCCCGAATAACCCCCACTGAGGCCTCCAGGTTGGGTCTAGAGAGCACGGGGACCCCCTCCTGAACCCCGTCCCCCATGGCAGGGTGCTCTTACCCGGCACACGAAGCACTCGGGGTGCCACAGTGTGTTGAGGGCCGAGATGTAGTTCTCCAGGATGGCGCGGGAGCAGCCGCCGCACTTGGGCGCGAACATGTCGAAGTAGTCCTTGCGACAGTAGGCCTTGCCGTCCTTCTCGTGGAACCCTGAGCGGTGGGGGGTTGGGGACTGTTAGGGCCTCCGGAAGTGGGGCCACCTCGACTCCAGCATTGGCAGGACGGGACCCACCCCCGACTCCCAGCCCTCCTGGGAGGCGCTGGTCAGACCACCCGTTGGTACCTTCAGGTCCGAAGAAGGCTCCACACTGAGCACAGAAGAAGTGCTCGGGGTGCCACGTCCGGTCGAGGGCTGTCACCACTTTCTGTGAGAACAAAGCGCAGGGTCACGTCCCAGCAGGGTCACCCGTGCTGCTGTGACTCCCATTTTGTAAGTGAAGAAACCTGGGCTCAGAGAGGCTAGCATTCCCTAACGTCACACAGCGGGGATGGGGTGACAGCTAGCGTTTGCTCCCCTTGTCTGGCCGGGGCTCCTGATCCCTAGGCGTCTCCGCAGAAGAGAATCGGGATGGGACAGGGAAGGGAGGGGACTGCCCGATGTGCGTGTGAACCCCAGCCCCGCCACAGCCTGCTGTCTGAGCTCAGATGCGTGACATGACCTCTCGGTGCCTTCGATGGCAGCAGCGGCCCCTCAGAGGGCGGCGATGAGACCGAGGAGCAGAGTGGGCGTCCCTGCCCGCCACGCCCGCACTCACATCCAGGATGGGGCCGTTGCAGTAGTAGCAGCGTGGGGAGAAGAGGTTGTGGTAGTCCTTTTCACAGTAGGGCTGTCCGTCCCGCTCGAAGAAGTTCCGGGACCCGATCTCCTCCTGGCAGTGGGTGCAGACGAAGTGCTCCGGGTGCCACGTCTTCCCCATGGCTGTCACGACCTGAGGAGGAAGACGGACAGAGGCACAGGGATATGACCCGACTTGGAGCACCCCAAGAGAAGAGGGTCCCGTGCCCGCCTCCTGCCACCCCTCCTCACCTGCCCGGCAATGGGCTTCTTGCAGGCCCCACAGACCCCTTTGGCGACCGTGGCGACCCCCAGCTTGTTCAGGTCAGACTGCAGGCTGCCCAGCATGCTGTCCAGCTGGCTCCCGGGCTTCGGGGGCCCCCCAGGGGGCGAGCTGCTCCCCGTCTTCCCCTGGGCCATGAACTGTGGAGACAGGGAGAGAGGGCGTCAGCCTCTCCGGGCGTAGAGAGTGGCCGCTGGCGGCACCACAGCACGAGGGACCTCTCTCCCTCCTGGACAGATGGGGCTGATGGAGCCAAGTCTCCTCCAGGGCCCAAAGAACGCTTGAAGTGGGAGCGGTACCAGCAGGCCAGGCTGGTGTCCAGGGCTCGCAGAGGGCCGGGGTGGGGAGGCTTACGCCACCCGGACCGTTGTGACCGGGAGGAACCGTGACAAGCAGGACTCTTGGCCCCCTGGTCCCTGGCACTGACCCCTCCCTCGTCCTGCCCTTCGGGGCCGCTCTGCCCGCCGCCCGGAGGCCAGTCGGCCGCCCAGCACAGCTCTCCATCCGCTCTTTGCTCCAGGCCGTGGATCTTAGATGGGGAGGAAAGGAGGGTAAGACTTTGCTTTCAATTAAGGAAGAAAGAATAAGAGACTTTGTCACTGGGCCATTGCACGAAGGGGATTTGGGACAGGATAAGAGGATTTCCCACTGGCAGTGTAGAATCAGGAGGGGAAAATGGGGAGAAAAGCCACCCTGAGAAAGACGAAGGGGCAAAGGGGTGAGCCAGCAAAGACAGGCGCAGGAGGGGACAGGCTGGGGGAGCTGGGCGGCCTGGGCAGGGTTGGACGGGGGCTGTGGGGAGAGCGAGGCCAGGAGCCCCGCAGGAAAGCAGGAGGGCAGTTGGCTTCCTGCAGGGCAGGGCCTGGCTCAGGGTCAGAGAGGGTCCTGGGCTGAGATGGGAGGAGTGGGCCTGCGGATGTGGGGAGTCTGTGTGCGTCTACGTGGGAGTGTGTGTGCAGAGCAGGACGGAGTGGGGTAGCCCAGGCATCAGGACAGGGGACAGGCAGGGCTGGCCCCGGGGCCCCAGGAGGCCTGCCTGCATTG